GGTGGGCGAGCGCCCGGGCCGGAGCCGCCGCGGCAAGGCTGCGGGGTAGGTGTGGGCCACGGCAAGCGGGGTGTCGAGCCGCTTGCACGCCTGGGCCTGGGCGACCGGGCCCAGGAGCAAGCGAGGGCTGGCAGGCCAGAGCTGGTGGGTGAGGTTCTGGCGGGGGCTGCGGCAAGGACCCCGACCCCAAGGGCCTGGGTCCCGAAGGGCGGCGAGGGCAGGCCCTGCGGCGCGCGGCGCCCAGGCTCTCTCTCTCTGTCTCCCCAGGTGCGGTGGGGCTATCTTTAGCTCCCGTGACCCGCGGTGAGCGTGGTCCGCACCCTGTGCGCGGCGGTGGCTGGGGAGAAAAAATCGGGTTCTCAGCCCATTTACCCAGAAGCTCCGGGAGAGAAGGGACCGAGCACTGCCGGGGCCCCAGGAGGCATTCTGCGGCCCGGTGATGAGTGAGGGTGTTTACCTTTTCCCTACCTGGCGTGGGAAACGCCGGCTTCCTGCCTTCCGGGACTTGGGGCTTGGTGGCTTCGGAAATGAAAGTATGTCTCAGTAGATGCTCAATCGGTTCTAAAGACTGTCAAGAATTGAGTGGCCCGCAGCATTACAAGGTTTAAGAAAGATGATTTGTCCATGGGATACTTGGGTTCAACAAAAATCCTCGTTGCAAAGCTTAAGCAAAAAAGAAGCCTGGACTCCTTTTCGGACACTGAAGTTCAGAAGTTTTCTGTAATTAGCTTTCACTCGCTGTTGGACAAACCGTTCTCCACCTGTAAAATATTGTGAACCAGGTGACACATCTTGAGTCCCTGTGTTGAAGGAGCCCTTTGTCAATGGTGTGGTCTCAAAACGTGACAGGTTATTTTTCTGCATGCCTCAGCAATTTGTTAAACAGGGTAGGTAGTTCATACCAAATGTTCCCTCCTGTAGGAAAGATGTTAGGCCCACGGTATAAAATTGAAATGGTCAGTAGGTCCTTTGCTGGTTGGTACATGCAGAAGCTGGGTATTAATCTGCCAGGGGTGAAATAACATAGTGGTTCTGAGCTAGGATAGACATGTTTGAAGTTCCCTGACTGGGCTCTGGCAGAAAACTAGACCAAGTAATGAGTTTCCTCAAACCTCACATCGGGTGCATTCTTTAATAGGATTACATTTATACAGAATTTTCACCTTTGTGTTGTACTCCATCCTCAAAAACCTTGTGAAGAATTTTACTACCCTTTCTTTGTAGATGAGAAAGTCATTGGTTAAGAGGGTGTGTCTATGGTCGTCTTCACACACTAGTATCTTGCCCATCATTAGACATTTACTGTTCTCCTGGCCATGGACTGCTTTCACCACAACTCTTAGAACACTGTCTGCTAGAAAACACATGTTAGAAACTCTGAGGTATGCATATATATTGTGGGAGACCCGCTCCCACTTTTACTCCAGGGTACTCTTGAGGAAGAAGTGAGAAATACTTAGAAGAGTAGAGGAGAGAGAGACAGAAACACAGGATTGCTCTGGAGGGCCTGGATCGTTATCCACTGGCCCCTTCTGTCTCTTCTAAAGAGCCCTTTAAAGGAATGCCAAGGTGTAGAGCAAAAGACACCCCCCAGCACCCCCAAGTACAGACCCTTCCAAACACCCGGTAACCATGCGAGTGGTTAATCCATCCCCTTATGCAGCCCTACTGGGTAAAGCAAGTTCAGATCTTACTAGGAAACCTTTGTGGGCGCGTCTCTCTCTCTCTCTCTCTCTCTCTCTCTCTATATATATATATATATATATATATAATTTTTTTTTTTTAGGAGGGAGGAGTGTAATAACAGATGAGCACATCTGTCTAGGATTTGACCTAAGGAGCAGATGATGTACGTGGTGTTGTGAAGGTAGCCTTCTGATTGCACACTCCCTGTTCATCCAGTTCTGAGTGGCATTAGTCCAGTTGGGTCAGTGTGGTGCTACTTGATGAGGTGGCCGAAGGTCAAGGAGAGTATCCTTTATGTTTTGAAGTTGAGTTTTTTAAAAGCTGCCTGTAAAATTAATGTATTAAGGTTGTTATCTCTTAAATTGGAGATTCTCAGCTTGATTTAGTGGGGCTTGAGAACATTAAAATCCTGAATTCTTACATTTTTGCAAGTAATCTTTCCATTTACCTTAGAGTTCACTTTAAAGAAATGAAATGAGAGACTAGTATTTTAAGATTATTTATAAGCCGGGCAGTGGTGGCGGTGGGTGCATACTTTTTGTCCTATCACTTGGGAGGCAGAGGCAGGCAGATCTCTGTGAGATTGAGGCCAGCCTGGGCTACAGAGAGCCAGGACAGGCACCAAAACTACACAGAGAAACCCTGTCTCAAAAAACAAAACAAAACAAACAAAAAAAGATTATTTATAGTATGAACTCTCTTGTCCTTTCAGTACTGGGGATTGAACTCAGAACTTTGTTTTGTTTTTTGAGACAGGGTTTCTCTGTGTAGCTTTGTGCTTTTTCCTAGAACTCACTCTGTAGACCAGGCTGGCCTTGAACTCACAGAGATCCGCCTGCCTCTGCCTCCCAGTGCTGGGATTAAAGGCGTGTGCCACCACCGCCCTAGCCTGAACTCAGTACTTTAGAGCTCCAGGTATGCTAGGTGGACTCTCTACCAGTGAACTGTATCCCTAACCTTTTGTTTTGTTTTTGAGACTAGATTTCATTAAGTTACTCAGGTTGGCCTTGAATTCAGTTTATGCAGACTTTGAACTAGTGAGCCGCCTTAGCCTGCCAAGTAGCTGGGATTATAGGACTGCACCGTCAGGCCTGTCTCCATTTTTTAAAATTTTTTCTTTGATGGTGGGAATTGAACATGCCATACAAGCACTCTATTGCTGAATTATAGTTCTCTTTTTTTCAACACTTATTAATTATGAGTTTGCGTGAACATGCATGTGACTGTGCCATGATGTGAGTGTGCTGTGGGGTGCCTGTGAAGTCAGGACAACCAGTGTGGGTCCTGGGGATTAAACTCAGGTGGTTTGGCTTGGCAGAAGGCTTCTTTACCTGCTCAGCCACCCCCTTAGCCCTGACTGAGTCATATTTTCAGCCCTGTCAATTTCTTAATTTTTGTGTGGTGATATTTTGTTTGTACTCTAACACATAAAATTTGCCTGAAGATCAGAGGACAGAGCCAGCCACTAGATTAAACATAGAGTCAGGCTGCGGTGGCACACACCTTTAATCCTAGCACTCAGGAGGCAGAGATCCGCCTGGATCTCTGTGAGTTCAAGGCCACCCTGGACTGCACAAGATTTATTCGGTCTGAAAGAGAAACAGAGCCAGGCAGCGGTGGCACACACCTTTAATCCCAGCACTCCAGATCTTATGCCTTTTGCTCCCAGTATTTGGAATGCCACACATGCCATTAATCCCAGGACTAGGAAGGTTGAGACAGGAAGTGATATGACTGGGCGGGGAAAGGAATATCAGGTGGGAGGAGATAGGAGGGGGGGCTTTCCACTGAGGACTCGGAGGTGGTCAGTCTGTGGGTTGGTGGAGATAAAATCTTGCCTCCCTTGCAGCCTGAGGATTCAGTAGTGTGGTGGTAAGTTTCTCTTGTGGCTTGTTCCTTTGTCTCTCTGATCTTTCAGCATTTACCCCAATGTCTGGCTCTGGGTTTTTATTATAAGGCCAATTAGGATTCGTGCAACATTTTTGGAGCTAGGTTTCCCATCCGTCTGAGAAATGAAATGAGAAACACTGATGTTTATTTTTTTTCTTTTGAGACAGGGTCTCATGTACCCCATATAACTCAAACTTCCAGTTTAGCTGGAATGACCTTGAACTCCTGAGTCTCTTGCCTCAGCTTCCCACATGGTATAGTTATGTGCCAACATACCCAACTAACCCTTGCTGTTCTAAAGACTGCTTACAAATGTGAACTTCATGAGCTTTTTGTTGTTTGTTTGTTTGTTTGTTTGTTTTGGGTACTGGGGATTGAACTCTGTCTGGTTCTCAAGCATATTGAGCATTTGGTCTACCTTTGAACTAGACCCCTCCCAAGTCATAGTCTAGTGTAAAACTCATTGTTTCCTACGTGATGATTAAAATACATGCATATACATGTACATTTAAAATTAGAAAATGAGTTGGTGCTGTAGGTCACTAGGTTATATCTCTAGGACTATGCTGATGGTGGGGGATGAAGTTAGGAAACATAAAGACCTAATTAGAGGGCTTGGTAGTTTCATATTATGTCTTAAACTTTTCTGTATGTTTGAAGAGTCTGCATGATTAAAGTGAATCAAAACAAATTACTATTGTATGAGAGAGGGTTTCCCCATGAAGCCCTAGTAGGTTTAGAACTCAGTGTGTAGACAGCCTGTCATAGAAATTGTAGTTATCCTCCTGCCTCTGCCTCCTAGTGCTAGAATTACAGTGTACTATAGTGCCTAGTTCCTTCAAGATAGTTTTTTTTGGTTTTGGTTTTGTTTGGTTTTGGTGTGTATGTTTGTGTCTATGCATGTGCATTTGGGTACCTGTGTAGGCCAGAAAAGGGTATTGAATCCCCTGGAGCTGGAGTTCAGATGGTTGGCAGGGGTCTGACTCAGGTGTTAGGAGTTGAACCCGGGTTCTCTCTTAACCGCTGAGCCATCTCTCCAGCCCCATAGTCAGGTGTTTGAGAATATATAGCCAGCATAAAAATTGCTTAAGAGGGTATTCAAATATCATTACCATTCATCTCCAAATCCTCAACAGTGTTTGAAGTGTTTAGAAGACACCAAGTGTTTGGGACACCAAGACTCAGGAGAGACCACTTGTCTGGGAGCACATTTGCCCCCTCTTTTTTTAGTAGGGAGGCTGAGGCAGGAAAATTTGAGCCCAAGAGTGTGAGGCTAGCTGAGACAACTTATCAAGACCTCATATCTCAAAAGAAAAAATAAGTTATGGTATAGCCTCATAGTTCATTGTATTAGTGCTACAATCTGTTAATCTTGTATTAGGGCTACTAGAATGTAAAGTCATTTTGTAGAAACAGATCATGAAGTAATATATCTTTAACGTAAGTGTTTTTCTCCATTTGTTTCCAGGCCCTCCATGATGAGAGATTTGGGGGTACTTCCCTCTGTGTGTGATTGATAGTCTGGGCAGTGAAGAGATGGCTGACAGTGTCAAAACCTTTCTGCAGGACCTTGGCAGAGTAAGTATATTTTGTTTCACGGAATTTGTCCCCCACCTTTCTTTTCTTTTTTGCTAAAGAACTGACTAGGAAATCCTTTAGGTGTTTTTGCAATTTTTATCATATTTGTTGGATCTTTTACATTGAGTGTAGGTTTTCGGTGTAGTCTACATTACTCAGTAAACAGTTTTTCATATTTTTGAGACAATCTCAGGCTGACCTTGAACACCTGGTGATGGTCTTGCCTCCTGTGCCGAGTACTAAGAATGTAGACATACACTATCCCACTCTTCTTTATTTTGCTATGCAGCCCTGGCTGGTTTGAGTTCATTTCAGTCCTGTTGTTTTCTCCTTCCCAAAAGCTGGGATTACAAGCCTGTGCCTAGCTATATCCTGTATCTTTTCTCTTTTAATAAAGTGAGTGAGTGAGTGAGTGAGTGAGAGAGAGAGAGACAGAGACAGAGACTGTCTGTCTGTCTGTCTGTGTCTGTGCATATAGTTGGAATTTTCTTTGGGCCACCAACCAGCTCCCAAATAAAGATACAGAGACTTATTATTAATTATGACTTCTCAGCCTTAGCTTAGGCTAGTCCCACAAGCTCTTTTAATTTAACCTGTTTCTATTCATCTACGTTTTGCATTGGGGCTTTTTACCTTTCTTTTGTTTTTATGTCCTACTTTCCTGCTTCCTTGTGTCTGTCTGACTGGCCATTGTTGTGTACTTGGCATCTCTTTTTCTTTCTTCCCTCAAGCCTAAATTCCTCCTCCTACTTAATCTCCCTGCCTAGAAGTCCTGCCTATACCTCCTCCCTCGCTATTGGCCATTCAGCTTTTCATTAGACCAATCAGGTGCCTTAGGCAGGCAAGGTAAAGCAGTAGTATATCTTTACATAATTAAACAAATGCAACACAT